TTACTCCTGTAAGGCTGAGTAGTCTCTTTAGGGGTGGGTTCGAGTCTATTAGCTGTTCCCAAAGGGAAATAGTTAACCTATGTACTTACAAGTAAGACTTGAATTTATTGGCAAGGAATACAAGTATACAAACAAGGAACATGAAAGAGAGACCCGAAAGTTCTCTCCTCTTTATCTTTTAGTTTATTCTGGGAGTCTAAGTTCGCAGTTATTGGAGTACTAGTGTTAGTGTACGCCCATCAATCTCGATGAATGAGTTTGTTTAAAGAATTACATAAACATTAAGAGTAAAAATATATAGACTTTGAAGATTTAAAAGCTTTTCTATTTTTTGGAGCTATTTTTCAAGTTCATTTTTTATTCTTTTTTATTTTTAATTTCATTCTAGAAGACACAAACGTAGGCAGCTAACTAACATCAGATGGGCTTTTTTTCTTTGCTGCAAGCAAAATGCAAGTTGTTCTGCTTTTTTAATCAATTTACAGTATGATATTATTCCTGTTAAATTTAAAAAGAATAAATTACATTATATAGAGTAGAATACACCAGCTACATAAACCATAAATACATAGTAGTTCTAAGTATTAAAAGAATAATTAAATTATAATTTTATATGGGAAATTAATGTTTAAAAGTAAAAATACCTATCAACATTTTTTCTTGGAATTTTTTGCTTTTATAATTATAGTATTAATAAGATCGGATGATGATGCTAATAATAATAATAATAATAATAATAATAATAATAATAATAATAATAATAATAATAATAATAATAATAATAATAATAATAATAAAGTATAGGTACTTGAAAGAAAAAAATTAATATATTGACAAAGGAAAATCAAGTTAGCAGGAAAGTTGTAATAGGTCCGGCTGTTGGACCATGGGCCCACCAGACCCGTATATTTTATGTAATTATGTTTATCTAAAATAGTAACATATTATAGATCTAAATAACATATTTTTTCAAAAAGTTAATATAATCGATGGAACAAAAACTTATAATTACCTTAAATTCCTTATATATATAAAAAATATGTACCAATTTATTACTATTACATTTTTTTAATCTTATTTTTATTTCACTTATCTATTTGAATTTGTGCTTAAAAATTTAAAATAATTATATTATTTCTTATAATTATAAATTTTAACTCAAAATGTAGCATGTCATTTGTAAACTTATTTATGGATATTATTTTACTCATAATTAATTATAGATATTTGTAGAACATATATTTTGTAAAGTTGGTGGCAGGTAAAAATATTGGTTTTAGTTTACAATGTATGTTAAACTTCAATTTTTAGACATAAGAACTTAGTCTATTTAGTTTCGATTATCTTACTATCATGTAGTTGTTCATGCTTCTTCTTACTGTTTTTTATGGCTTTTCCTTTAGTGTATTTCTTTTATTATGTTATGATTATGTTTTTTCTGAGTCGAGAGTCGATTGGAAACAACCTCTCTACTTCCACAAGGTAGGGGTAAGATCAGCGTACACATTATCCTCCCCGACTTGTGGATTAAACTGGATTTATTGTTGTTGTTGATAAAGTTAAAACTTAATTTTTATTAATAAACTTCAAAGATACGTATAAAAATTAAATTATAAACATGAAATTTTTAGCCTTTAATAATTTTTTTTAAGTTGTTTGTTGTAAGGTGGATTGTAAATACCCTTTCATATATTCCCACTAAAAGTGAACTGCAATAATTCTATCACTTTAGAATAAGAATTCCTAACCCTTAAAAGAGCTTTAAATGCACGAGATTTTATTTTGTAACTTTCTATTTGTTATCTCTCAATTAACTTTTTTCCCCTCTAAAATGGTAAAGAATTAATTGGTTATAATTTTATACAAAGATTTAAGGCTCCTAAATCTAAAAAGAGTTCTAAGTAGATGAGAGTTTCCTACTTTAACTTTTTTGGGCGTTACTCTTCTTTTACAAATATGTACTCTTACCTAGTTTAATCAATGAAGGACCCAATTGAAATACTTAGTTGATTTTGGTATCAATAAATATTAGAAAAATAATTAAATAACTATTCCTAAATTTTAGAGAACTATTAAATGACTATTTTATCTGGTGTAAAATATATTTTTAAAGGGTAAAAAAAGCGAACGACATTTCGCTAAGGGTCTTCGTGCTTTTAATATAGTATAGATAGATAGATATAGATTACTTAACCGAATTGCTTGCGAAGGCAACTATTCAAGTTGTTGCTAGTTCAGTCCAACTACGGCAAAAAGCCCCCCCC